AAAAAACGATAGCTTAGCGTCAATATCTTGAAGATCAAGAATGTCGATCCATGGTATAGACTGCAGATCGTGTTTAAAATTACTGTAGTTAAAATTTCGAAAACTCCTGTAGGTTTTTGTCTTTTGATTAGGTTTTTGCGCCAAGCAAGACTTTATTTTACAGAAAATCATCTCGTGATCTGAGAAGGTACGAGCAGCAAATATACCCGAATCTAATATCTCTATGGAACTACTAGAGAGGATTAAGTCTATTACAGAGTTACCGCGGGTACAATCTGTGATATGTTGAGCCAGATCTAAGTTTTGACACATATTAATTAGTTCTAGTGTGGCTCGTTCATTTTTACTATAGTCTATGTTAAGGTCACCAAGAGCGATTATAGACGGGCACGAAGAGCTTATATCCAACCAGGTGTCTTGAAATATACTTAAGAAATTTTCATAATTTTGCCGCACAGGGTTGTACACTGATCCTATTGCAAGCGACTTACCCCTGTGGTTAATGTTTACCCAAACTTGTTCGATGGTGTCATCAGTTTGTATTTCATTGAAAAACAATTCATCATTGATGTAAATACCCACTCCTCCTCCTTGAGCAGTAGTTCTGTCCCTACGAACAAATTTGTAGTTTTGAAGGTTGATATTATCAGTACTAATGTGAGGTTTTAACCAGGTTTCTGTTATACATATGACATGGGGAGTATTTATGGTTGTGAATTCCTGTAATTTAGAGATTTTAGAAGACAATGACCGTATATTTATGTGCGTAATTAGCAGCTCATGCATAACTGTAGATGCAGGATGATTCATGATAAGTAATATCATTGAATAATAGATTTATTATTCAATGGTAATATGGAAAGAAAATTCTTATACTTATGTAGGTACACAGCAAAAAAACAAAAAAGAGACCACTAAAGTGCAATGTAGCGTAGTACTTCCCTTAACAAATGTTATGGAATGAATCGCCGTTAACCTGACCGCTGAACAAATGGATACAGAATTTGTTATAAGGGAATGAATTTATTAGATATGAATACTACGATTAAACAGTGAACATGTATCTAAATTTATGTTTACATATAGTTTGATTATAAGAGTGTGCGTGTATCTAATATTGTGTGATTGGCGATATCTATTACATTGACCTTAAGAGCTTGCTGCCATCTTCGCCTTGGAATTCCTGGTATTATACCATGCTTTCTGCTTGGCTCCCATTTGCATGGCCTTCCAATCTTGGGTAGTAGCAAGAAGTTCGCTCTCTATAGTGATTTTATAATAAATTTCGGTCTGATTTAAGCTTGCGAAATTTTTTTAAATCATTCATACCGCCATGTATAGCACACTTACATTCCGGGGGTTGTAACTTTACGTAGTAGACCAACTATGATTATTTATTTGACAGATTATGTTTAAATAATCTATAACCTACCCTTAAACTGCCGTTTAATAATAAATTTCGGTGTGATTTAAGCTTGCGAAATTTGTTAAGTCATTCATACCGCCATGTATAGCACACTTACATTCCGGGGGTTGTAACTTTACGTAGTAGACCAACTATGATTATTTATTTGACAGATTATGTTTAAATAATCTATAACCTACCCTTAAACTGCCGTTTAATAATAAATTTCGGTGTGATTTAAGCTTGCGAAATTTTTTAAGTCATTCATACCGCCATGTATAGCACACTTACATTCCGGGGGTTGTAACTTGACGTAGTAGACCGCAACTATGATTATTTATTTGACAGATTATGTTTAAATAATCTATAACCAACCCTTAAACCGCAGTTTAATAATAAATTTCGGTCTGATTTAAGCTTGCGAAATTTTTTAAGTCATTCATACCGCCATTTATAGCACTCTTACATTCCGGGGGTTGTAACTTTACGTTGTAGATCAACTATGATTATTTATTTGACAGATTATGTTTAAATAATCTATAACCAACCCTTAAACCCTTATTGATATATATAATTCACTCAAATTTTGTTGCTTCCTGGAAAAAACTCTTGCTCAAAAGTACATACTTTTGATCTCTAGTTTTTTTCGTTGCAAAAAACTTTAGTGTGCAAATAAAATTATCCGATTAAAAATCAAGCTCTTGTGTATTTACCCCCGATAAAAACAATGAAAACTAACACTTTTGCGCCTCTTAGATGCACAGCAGTTATTTTATTGGTCGAGGCTAACTTCCCTGACACAAAAACTTCAATATTTCCTCGCCAGTAATGTGTCATTTTCCTGATTTTTATTTAAATAAGTAACTATAACACATTTACTAAAACTTAGAAGATCGTGTCGGCGACATGATATAAAATTTCCACCTGTTAAATTTTAATTAGTGAAAAACCGACGAGAACTTTCCGCTCTAATGGTGCGAATTCGGCTTGCTGGAACAATAATTGCATCGGCATAAAATGATTGCCTAATTGGACTTCTACAAATTAATACGTGGAATTGAGAGTACGAGTTCTCAGATTTCGTGGTGCAATGCCTGGTGAATTATTGATCCAGATTCTCGGAAGAACGGGTTATTTGAAATCCTTTCATTAGCATCACCACTGGCATTCAATTCGCCGAATCCAGTTCTATCGGGAGATAAATTGGAAACATTTCGGAATAAAGATTTGTTTCCCAGTACGTTATAACGTGAGGTTAGTTCGGCGCTGTAAAACTCAAACCCCGCCGCATAAACGGCCAGCTAGCTCAGATTCTTAATTAAAAGAAGGGCTCGAGATGAGAATCTTCCACAGCGGTTTGTTCGTTTGGGCATATAACATAAGTTTTTGATCTTTGGTAGTCACTAGAAATGATTAGTTGAGCGCCACCCAATTTTGCACAAATTCTGACCTCTCCTGTATAGAAATTGGGAAAACACAAGAGAGCCAAATAATAAGTTCACTACGAGCAATTCTGATTTATTAATCCTGACAAAACGGTGCAGGATCGGCAAATAAAATGTATCTTCAATACGACAATAACAAATACTTTAAATGACAAAAATAATCCCCAAATAAATTCCTGAACACTTCCCTAATAATTACGTTACCAGCCCCCTACAACAATGATCGAGCAAAAATGTAGTTAAGATTTCAATGGATTCAAAGATTGAATTAAGTTAACCCGAATAACAACTCATATAGGCAACACTGGGTACAAGTAAATTAAAAATCTTACCTTGAATAACACATACGCTGTCTTCTCCGAAAAAGAGCTCTCCTTCGAAGTTCCAGTTCTGTAACACAAAAACAAACCCCAAGCTACAACGCTCGGAACGATTATATGAGCCGGAAGGGCCAAAAATAGCTTACTCGTAGCCGGCTCGTTTACCCATACGTTAAATACAGGTGCGTTGCTCTTGAAGAGAGTCACGACCTCAAACACTTGATGCGAACAAAATACAAAGCTCCGATCATAACTCGTCGGAAGGTTACACTAGATTAACGGTATTGAAGCAAATAAAAAAAAGGTTGTGTAAAAGATCGTATCTTCCGAAAATTCCACAATCAGCTGGTCACTCCCGGTATCGTTTAGGTGTTAGCGCTTATCTACTCGGTGGTACGCCGGATAACTGCCGGCAATCAACAGGTGTTCGTACTCCGGAATATTCGCAAGATGCAAATTCATTTACATACAAGAATTCATCTACTACATGGATTGATCGGTACAAGAATTCATCTACTACATGGATTGACCGGTACAAGAATTCGTCTACTACATGGACCCCCTGAAATCGTCAGGAGGGTAATGAAAAATACTTAAATCAATGAAATATGGAAATTATCCAAGAGGTTGTGAATATGTAGGTAGGGCGATGAACTTCAACCAGATAATAGCCTCACAACGGAGAAAACGGCTTCTGAGTTACTCTACTCGACAACGCCAATAAACAGGTAAAATTGCCAGAGATTTTACGTGAATGATGGCAAATATTACCCACTGGTTTTAGAAGAATTCACAATGCCACGCTCTACACGTACAACCTCGTTGGCTTTAAAACGGAAATGAAGTGAAAAAAATTACGCGATTCTGCGCGAGGAAAGAAGCACGCGTACAAGTGCCGCCATCTCACCTATATCCTGCCTAACGTAGCAAGCGGTAATTTTGAAATTTGAATATAAATAAACTAAACTGTTACAACGTTTTACACTGAAAATATTTATAATAAGATGTAATGTTATTAAAACTGTCGATTTCGGTATCTGAATTGGTTTGGGTCTGATCCATATAGGATTTGGTTGTCGTATGTTACTCATCTTTATTTACTTAAGCGAAATTCAACCACTCTGTTTGCGTTTTTTTACACTGAACTTACAGGCAAAATGTTAATGTTTACAATAAATTAAAGGAATTACAATGGGAACTCTTATTTATTTTTAATTAGTTTATTTATTTATATGTTTATTATCCCTCTCTTGTTCTGGGCTCTCAACAGGTTTTCGCCCCATTACAGAGTGCTTTTTTAGAGGTGCCCCTAGCCGAGAGAATGCTCGAAACTGATCTAAGGTAATTCCCATCTCTGCCATAGAAAAAAAATTCTTACCCCAGCCCGGGTTCGAACACCCGACCAGCGGCTATGTAGCCTAACGCTCTACTACCGAGCTACACAGTCGCGTAGTTATAGTTACTGATATATACAGATTTTATTAACAGTAATACAATTCAAAGTACTGATAAAACAACTCTATGGACTCTACTTATAAGTAGTGTCATGCAAGTCTTATTATTATAAGGCATGAAAAGATGATAAACTACATCTGGAGTGGAAAGGCTTAATGTTGCATGTACTAAGACTTAGAATTTATCTCTTCTCTAACATGCCTTGGTTGCTGACACGTAATTAAGTGCATGTACGGAAATGAAAAAGAAAACTATGACGCTGAATGTAAATTGCAGCTACGATTAAATTTAAATTACACGTCAGCTCGTACGTTTTCATTAGCTGCAAGTAAATAATGAAATTTTCGGTGGCTAACACGATGTTTTTGTTTTCAGGTGAGTAGGCAGCGAAAACTTCACGGCATTTTTCAAGCGCTTTAGGTAAGAAATAGGTTAAGAAATACGAGGCGAACTATGCAAAATTCCTAATGTGTTTTCTTCGCAACTTCTTGGAGACCTAGTTTATTTCCTACCGGCGTCGTGTTGCGCCCGACGGTTTCCCTCGAAATTAAGATTAAGCGCACACAAACAAGACGTTCCGCTTTATGAAACTTTCGAGAGGGTATACGAAGGATTTCGTGTAACCGTTCTAAGGGTAAACGTGTTTATGTAGATGTGTATAGGGGGGGATGAGCCTAGGGAAAACAGATGGTTTTGGTTCCGTAACGTTAATCACTATTTGTATCGACTGTATAAACACAACCCGAACAGCTTTGAGTTTCTGCATTTTCTTTTTTCCAGAAGGGTAGTTACACCTGAAGGTAAATAAATTAGCTTACTCCCCATGCTTCGAGTTCGTACTATATCGATTTATTTACAGATGGATTACTTTCAGTTCAGTTTGTTTAATTGATGATTAATTATAGCAAAGAAATAGATTATTTTGTAAAAAGGTAGCTTTTAATCTCACTTTGGCCGGCTGGGTGGCTGGCAGCAAATGCGGGCCCGTAGAAGAACGCTTGTAGAAAGACCTAGCGGGCGGTGTAATTAATAAACTCTAGGGACGGGGTTACGTGATCGGCGACATCTGGACGCCATCCCCGAGCGTGGTTTACTACGTGGTGATCTTTCCTACTTTTGGTCCGATTGTTTTAAAACTGGTGTCGTCGGAAAGATTTTGTAAACGCTCACAACCCTTATCTTCACCACCTTTTGCAAGGCACGCGTCTTCGGGGGTAGTAGGGTAGTCGAATTTGGGCGCCTAAAAGTTACCTTCCCCTGCGAATTTTCTCACGTGCTTTAAAGTTTCTCGTGTCGCCAATAGAAACCCTATCCGTGTTTTCCTAATCTGAAAATATTTTTGAAATTCCCCTCCCCTATTCCCCACACCTGTCTCATTTTCGCTTCGTCCTTTTTTTCTTAATTCCCTCCCTGCCGCCTTCACTTTCTTCAGTCTCTTTAATTGTTACTCCATCTCTCTCTGATAGATCGCCTTCTTCCACCTCCTTTTTTCCTTTAATTTCTATCTCACACGCTTTCTCCTTCTTACCTTGTAGCCAGGGGTGTATTAAGGGTCAACAACGCCCTAAGCCCTAACGGATTTTGCGCCCCATAACAGATTTTTTAATAGTCAGTAATAAACCAACAACAAGACAAAATAAAATAAGTACATTTACATAGAAAACGAAACGTACTGTAACGTACATTTAATTACGTGGTTTAATTATTTACAATTAATTAATAATAAATTTATGACAATCTTGAAATGCGTTTAATTAAACTATTATTTATCACTTAAATATACACAACTTACAACAGCGCCAATTATTTATTACTTCGGCGTTGAAATTGGAACTGACTGAAACACAATTCGATGTTTGAAACAATAAATGACTCGAAAAGACCATCCAAGGGATCTGCTTCAAAGGGTTCAAAATTCCAATTATGTTTTGGGAATGTGTTTCTTCAAAATAAGGTGAAACGCGACCACCTACAAAAACTGTAGTCATGTTATTATGTATAATGTGGTTCAGAGGTTTCAATTATCGGAGTGGCACTGCTGAATAAACGGCTCGCTTGGATAGGGGATGCTCTTTCCATCTATGAGCGTGCTAGACTGCTACGTATCTTGTCTCGCGCCCCTGCCTTGCGATACGTTGATCTTTTATGAGTATTTTTGATTTTTCAGACAGTGTTTTGTTCGTTCTTTTTTGCGCCTCTAGAATTCCAGCGCCCTAAGCCCGAGCTTTGTCGGCTTATAGGTTAATACGCGACTACTTGTAGCACCTTCATAAAGTCCTGTTTCCAGTCCTCTATTTGTATTTCTTTCCCATTAAATGTGTTTCCCTTTTACTCATGTCCATGAACCTAGCACAGCAAGGTCAGCAGAACACAATCAAACATATTGCATAATTAGGTGCTAATTAAATGCTAATTAGGTGCTAATTAAGTGCCCTATTCCCGAATTAAATTTTCCTTTTTTTTTAAATGATTACATGTTCTGCCAGGTGCATATGAACTTATCAGAGCACTACCTTAAAAAACCAAGAAAATGAAAAGTGAACTAACTATAATTAGGTACTAATTAGGTGCTAATTAAGTGCCCTATTCCCGAATTAAATGCTCCTTTTTCTTTAAATTATTACATGGTCTGCCAGGTTCATAATTTAAAAAAAAGGAGCGTTTAATTCGGGAATAGGACACTTAATTAGCACCTAATTATAGTTAGTTCACTTTTATTTCATTTTCTTGGGTTTTTAAGGTAGTGCTCTGCTGAGTTCAAATGAACCTGGAAGAACATGTAATAATTTAAAAAAAAGGAGCATTTAATTCGGGAATAGGGCACTTAATTAGCACCTAATTATAGTTAGTTCATTTTACATTTTTTTGGGTTTTTAAGGTAGTGCTCTGCTGAGTTCATATGAACCTGGCTGAACTAATAATAATTTTAAAAAAAGGAGCATTTAATTCGGGGATAGGGCACTTAATTAGCACCTAATTATAGTTAGTGCATTTTACATTTTCTTGGGTTTTTAAGGTAGTGCTCTGCTGAGTTCATATGAACCTGGAAGAACATGTAATAATTTAAAATAAAGGAGCATTTAATTTGGGAATAGGGCACTTAATTAGCACCTAATTATGTTCATTTTACATTTTCTTGGGTTTTTAAGGTAGTGCTCTGCTGAGTTCATATGAACCTGGCAGAACATGTCATAATTTAAAAAAAAGGAGCATTTAATTCGGGAATAGGGCACTTAATTAGCACCTAATTAGCACCTAATTATGCAATATGTTTGATTGTGTTCTGCTGACCTTGCTCTGCTAGGATAATGGACATCTTTTCCTCTGTTTATTATCTTCCAAAAGGCATTATCCGTTTTTATTTGACTAATTTATTCGTCATATTCTTCCTTTTTCTTCATATTTTTTCTTACATATTTTTTTATACCTTTTTTACCACCCGCAAGTTAGTAAGGGAGGTATTGCATTGGGGTAAAAAATTTCCACCCACTTTTTTTTATACAAATACACGTCTGTCGGTATGTACTCCCGTTTCCAGTATCTGTGCTAGCCACAGTAAATTTTTGCTGTTCTCTCATCTCTTTCTCCTCTCCATCATTGTTCTGTATCTGTTTCTCTTTCCTGTACACTCTCTGTCCTAGTACTCCTTTCGTTTAAGTCTCCCTTCTTTCTTTCCTTTCCTGCTTCCACGTATTACTTTTTTAATACTCCCCTTCATATTTCCCACTCCTACTCTGTGCTCTCTCCTATTGCATACACTTGATCCTCTAGTCTCTTATGATCTGCCATCACTTTCCCCCCTTATTTATAACTGAATCTCCCTTCGTTCCATTTCTTGCTCTTTTTTTCTTCTCTCTTACCCTTATTTCCATCGGTTGGTGATCCGATTTTGTCCTTGTTCTATATTTCTTTCAACATTTTTCCGTTTAATGGTATGTAATCAACTACCTATCTTCCTCTCCCTCCAATGTATGTGTATTGCCCACCCCAATCTCCATCCAGGTTTCCGTTTAATATTCTCCAACCGTCTCTTTGTTAAATCCGGTAACAACTCCCCCTCTTCGTTGCATTCTTTATCGTTTGACGTACTATCTTGTATTCCCCTTCCCATTTCCACCAATTTACTTTATTCCCTGTTTCTGGCATTTAAATCTTCGCCCCCCCCCCGCCCCCCTCATTATTCGCTCCTCCCTTTTAACTCTTTCATTCCTTTTCTGTTATATATCGTTATCGCTCTCATCCTCTTTCCTTCTGCTTCCACTCTCTTTCTTGCTTCTTATATCATACCATATACCATATCAATATCTTCATATAACTCATTTCCCTATGTAATCCTTTCTTCTCCAGGTCGTATCTGTCTCCCCACCCTTTCTCTCTTCCCTTGTCTTACTATATCCTCTTATCATTGTCTCTTTCACCCTTGCTATCTCTTTAATCTCTTACTGTACCATTCTTTCTTCATAAGTCACTTTGTCATCTATGCGTATCCTGCTCCCCTTGAAATTTCCCTTATCTCTCTTCGTTTTCCATGCTACTTCCGCGACAATTACTTTATTACCCCCTACTTCAATTTTGTTCTCCCCCCTTTTACGTTCGCTTCTACTTGTACCTTTTCTTTCGGTCAATCTTCCATTCTCTCCCTATCTTTTCCTTGTTCCACGTCTGCTCCCTTTATCGTGATTAATTTGTAGCGTCTATATGGCACAAGTGAATTTATTTGAACGGCTCTGAAAATACACAAAATATGAACAGGCACATACGGTAGAAGTACCAGGTGGAAAACAGAGGGGGGGAGTACAACCAAAACATTTCGTGAATATTCATGTTAGTCTGGAAACGTCAGGAAGCAGTGAATTGATATAAACGGAATGCCTGCTAAGCGAGCGTAAATCACGACAAAGTTTTCTGTATGTTGAGTAAAATATTAAAACCAGCACCTCGAGGGTGTTCTAAATTTCAAATGCGCCGTGCAATTTCCGCTTCCGGATGACAAATACGTACACTCGGGCACACTTACTGAGGTAATGAGGGCCCCTGCTATGGCTGATTGATTACCTTGTCGGTGGAATCGTAATTACGCCGTCTTTCCAGTTAGGGATGGGTGTTAAGGTGAATAAACTGGGAGCGTAAGGATATCGATTATATTCAGATTGCGAAACAAAGATTGTTAGCGGGTCGAAAGCCAAAAAGAAAAAAATTTAGTAACAGTATGGGATTGATCTAAATGTAAGGAGAACCCCTACAACATTCTCGAAGATCGGGGCGTTGGATTATATCCGGGTTTAGAGCGATAGGCATTTCAAAACCGGCAATTTATCAACGTTACTTCAAGCCGATATCATAATGTGTTTTGTATCGGAAGCATCAAGGCAAATGTAGGTACTTACTGTTGATACAGGAAACACTGCAGGT